GCATCCAGGCCCCCAGTATAACACTGGGAAACACTGGAAAGTGCAGAAAGGTGACATTTAACCTTCACTCTGAAGAACTGAGCAGCATTTATTCTACAGTGTGGCAGTGTCATTCACCCTCCTCTTAACTCCAGATCCTCAGGGTCTGGGTCCTTTCCCATGGGGTGGGAGGACTGGATTCAACCCTCCCTCACCCTGAGGGGATTGCATAGAGCAAATTCCCCTTTTACAAGTCAGGACTTTAACTGCAAAGCATTTGGCTGCTCAGGGCAGCAGCCACCTTTGCTCTCCCATTTGAAGCTGAGCCAACGTGCAGCAGAGAAACAGGGCTTGAGGGGTCATGGTGTAGCTGGTGCCTGCACCCCACAGGGCTTGGAGCTCAGCAAGCAGGAGTGTAGAGTGGGTTGCTGCCTCTGTTTCCACTATTTTTGCTATAGTTGATCTGAAGTCTTTGGTAGTTAAAATACAAAAGTTCTCCCAGAGCATGAGGAGCAATACCAGAGCCCTCTCTCCTGGGTGGATGCCTCAGATTTGCAGCTGCAGACTCAGATATATGCTTGTATCTTCTCTACCTCTTGGAGATCTCAGAGATCACTACTTTTTGGATCTACTCTTTGACCTTCCTCTGGATTTTCTATCAAGTCACTGGTGCCTGAAGGTATAATGGTTGAAGGTAGATCTACAGTGTTGTGTTAACAGTCATCCATTTCTCTCTCCATGAACAGCATTGTCTCCAGTTCAGCAGAAGAAGCCTATAGTGGTACAACTCCCTCCTGTCTGAAATAGGGCAGCCCTTTTATTTCTTGTATAGAAATTAGTAAAACCACTGTGAATTTGCCCCGAGGATGGATTTGGTCTTGAGTATGTGTATAGAGTGGCGTCAAGGGGGATGTTCCTTTGGCATTTCTTGGGATGGAGTGAATTGCACTCTGGGGTTCTACATGGGCTGTAAAAGGAGCTGAAGTTCTTCAGAGTTTGCCACCTGCTCGTCAGCGGTCAAAGTTAGAACAGATCAGTCACACCTAGAGCGGTTTGTTTCATTTTTAGCAGAATGTCTGCAGAAAGGCTGAGGCAGGACCCAGAAGTCCTGTGCCCATGTCCAAATATATCCTTTATTTTTTTCTGTAAAAGAAGCATCGTGTGTTTATAAATTGGTCTTTGCTGAATGAATTGCTCTTAAAGAGAATTACACTGTAATGAGCCACATCATTAAAAAGAAATTTTTCTGTGAGCAGCAGAGCCTGGTTTCCTGCAGTTTGGTGTCTCGTAGTGGGATTATCTTGTATCTAATGAGGAGCACTCTGGCTGAAGCCTTTCCTCCTGTTCATAAAGACACTGTCTCATGTGGGTTCTCTGGTTTCTATAATACTTTTGGGATCAAACTGCTGTTGCTTAGGTTCTCTCATATCTGACAATGTATTATTGCCCACGTGGGAAGCTGTTCCTCCCTGGAGACAAAAAAAGGTCATACTTCTCTACCCTGCTGCCTCTTCTCACAAAAAATGTTAAAAAATAAAATCTTTGAGTTTTCTATCACATAGTTAAATTTGAATGAAATTGGCCAATAAGTTAAAAGATAATTGAGAATAATACTGGACTGACATAACAACATAATAAACATAATTTTATTAGGTAATACTGCAATAAATGATGGAGTGTAAATACTTGAGCAGATTAAACATGGGGAAAAAATGTTCATAAATATTTATTCGAGCATTTAAATGCACTCAAGGTGACAATTTCATGCCCATTTTGCATTTCAATTGTAGAGGTTTGATTCACAGCCATATGAAAGACCAACAAGGGCACAGGCACTCCAATAGTTACACCCATGCCTCAAAAGTAAAAGTAAAAGAATATTTTTCTGTGAGACTTATTTTCACAAACACAGGGAATTTTAAAATGTTTCTTTCAGAATATTATAAAATTTAGAATTTAGAAATGGGAATGTTGAATAATTCAGACACCAGATTTTGAAGATGATTCTCACCTAGTCAGAGAATAAAATTAGATTATGTGGTTTGTGCTGGATTTCCAGAATTTTCAATAAATCTGAACTGAACAAAGTCAGACCAAAAATTCTTTGCTGAAGTAATTCATGGAAATGTTTCAAAAATGTGAGATGTGAAACAGAATTCTGTTATTTGCGCGTGCGCACACACACAAACACACACACACACACACAGAATCACAAACGAAGGAAAGAAGAAAGATACATTGAATAAATTGTTCATCGTAATTTATTTTTCCAGTTCCTGAGCCATAGAAATGTGCTTGTCATAAAGTGATTTTTGGAGATACTTGTATTTTCTTACTTTGGATACAGTTTAGATGGATGAGCTACCACTGCTCTCCATGCTTATCAAATTAGGAGAATGCATTTCTAAATTCAATTACACCCTCAGTGGAAATGGTTTCTCTGACTCTGGTAATCTTTGGAGAGGAATTATACACAGTCTATAAAGCTTCACATTTCAAAACCTAATTTTGAATGTTATTCAAGAGGTTAATTTAAGATTCATCTTCCTAAAGAGGAGTTAAATAAACTGATAGAAGGTTAGAACTTGTCGAGTGGTTGAGAGGTTTATCAGCATGTGAGTATGAGTTCATTAGTTTTAATTAGTATAATCACTAATGTTGCATTAACAGTTTGGTGAGAGAAAGTAATTGCTCACACCCACTGTATTAGATTGGGAGATTAGAATTCATTTTATGAGGCAATTAGCATTTCAGGGATTTTTTAAAAGGCTTTTACGATCTGCCATTGCAGTTGCCTCCTTCACCAAAAAGAGTTTAAATTAACCATAACTTTCATCCTAATGGGATGCAAAAATTAATGTAGAATTAAGTGTGAACCAGTAATCCCACCATGATAAGCAGGCAGCTCAAGTCACAAATCTTGATTAGTTTATAATGACTTGTTTTATTTTCCAGACAATGATAGTCATTTATCAGTCCTCAATGCATTATCTTCTTGGAAAGTTTATATTCTTGAATTTTATACAGCAAAACATATAAAATATGAGGAAGAGAAAAGTAGAACAGTACTATCGAAGAAATAATTCTCCAAAGAAAAAACTGCAAGGTTCAATGATAGGGCTTAAATAGTCAATTATTCTTCATATCAAACATCAGAGGAAGAAGAAACAACTTCCTTTGACACCTAGTGCCTTGAGAGGAACCATGGATTTCACAGCAACAGCAATCACAACTCTGTTCTTCCTGCCTTGTCCCTTGGCAGCTACTAACAAAATGGGAATGGAGATCCAGGACTTTGTCATCCTGGTTTTCAAGGAAGCTTTGGTCATCTGAGAGCTGGGGCAGCTGACCCAACAGAATGCCTTCCAAAACATTCCTGGAAAGCAAAAGCACAAGTTTTTGTGATGAAAACTGCTTGCAGTAAGAACACTTACTGTCATGTCAAGGCTGTAATGAAAGGCATCACGGGATCTGTAGAGCGATGAGACAACACACCATTTGCAACATATGTGGCACCTATTATCTGGGATTATGCTTTCCCCTGGTTAAAAAAAACCTCTGCTCAAAAATAACTGAATAAAGCCCAAATCTGCTACAAGTTGGATGTGAAATGGAGGAGAACAAGTGTTGGATGTTAGAACTGTACTGTTGTTCCTGTAATTTTGGGTACATATGTTAAAATGAGCAGACGTGGGGCAGTATCTGGGAAATTATATTAATCTTCCTAAAGCAGATGTTAAAGCAAAGTGTATTTATATGTATATATATGTACTCTTAATTCTTATGCTCCTTATAAGCATAGATGTTTATAGAACTAGATGATCTCTAAGGTTCCTTCCAACCCAAACCATTCTATGATACTATGATCTCCAAAGGAATTCAGAGGGAGAAAATGTCTTCCTATGTTTAAGCATCTAAAATTTAAGTACAACTAAACAGATTGGATCTCAGCCTTCGTCACTCTGTAGCAGCCAGTGCCATCTTTAGGAGGTGAATTACTCCAGCTGAGATCTGAATCTGCCACTGGGAAGGACTTCCTCCCTCTATTGACTGCAGAGGCAGTCCAAGGTAACCAGATTTCTGTCTTGGGGCAGATGAAGTAAATGCTTAAAATTGGGTAGGATGAATCATGACCAGCATGCCCTTGCCTCAGGGTTTGTCTATGCACAGAGTTATTGCAGAAAGACATTACTCTTCCTGAATAACATTACATATGGATACACTTTTGGTTGAATAAGACTTCCTCATTTCTCTTCAATGTCACCCGCTTGACAGAGGCAGAGTGGTTTGCTTCCTAGTCCTCACATGGAATTATTCTACAAGAGCTGCTGCCTTTTCAGCTATCTGACCTACCTTAATCCAAATTTACTTTAGTATAAAAATGTCCTTAATTTGCCATCCATCCACCTTTGAGAGCCATTCAATAATTATGGAGGCAAGCACATCAATTAAGCACAAATACATTGACAAAAAAAAAAAAAAAGGCCACTGTATACAATAAAAACTGGGTTTTATTTCACAAATTATGGGTGTTATAAAGCATATTGTTTCAGGAGAAATGCTTGTATTTGCCTATGTGTTTCATTAAAGAATAATAAAGCCATACATATTTCATTTCCTTGTTCTGAGCTGCAAAAGCCTTAACTATATGAAAAGCCCCATGCTGTCCTTGCTTTGTTGGGCTCTTTTTTCTTTTTAATCAGATTTTTCCCCCAAAACTAATGAAACTGTTCTTTAAACACATACATCACTTTCATTTGAATTGACTTATCATGGCTCAAATGGTTTCTCTCTTCTCCTGGATAACCAGGAGGCAGCTGCCAGCACCTTTTTCTGTGCAGATCCAGGACTGGATTGCTTCGGCTGGCAGCCTGGGTTCACAGTGCTGAGCTCCTGGTGTTCTCACCAGTGCTGTTTTAGGTGGGGTATTAGGTGACCGGTGTCTGCAGGGTCTGCACCTTGTGTATCTGCAGCAGTTCCTGGTCAATTTGTTATCATGTGTAATTTCTCTCTTCTCATAGTATGCACCAGCCCGCTGTGCAGCCGCACAAACATCCGCAGAGCAAGGTGTCCTTTCTCCCTGCCATCACCACGAAGCAGTGCATGACTCTCAGTTGGTGCCCTGCACGTGCCCACTCTTCTCCTGCCCATGGGAAGGGCATCTGGAGGTGGTGGTGTCCCACCTGAGGCAGACCCACCGCATCAACATCCTTCAGGGAGCAGAGATTGTCTTCCTGGCCACGGACATGCACCTGCCCGCACCCACAGACTGGATCATCATGCACTCTTGCCTTGGCCACCAGTTTTTGCTGGTCCTCAGGAAGCAAGAGAAGTATGAAGGCCACCCCCAGTTCTTTGCTACGATGATGCTGATCGGCACACCAACCCAAGCTGACAATTTCACCTACCGGCTGGAGCTCAACAGGAACCAGAGGCGGCTTAAGTGGGAGGCGACCCCCAGGTCGGTACTGGAGTGTGTTGACTCTGTCATTTCGGATGGGGATTGCCTTGTGCTGAACACTTCCCTGGCTCAGCTCTTTTCTGACAATGGAAGCCTAGCAATAGGAATTGCAATAACCACCAGCAAAGTTCACAACGCCGAAGCTGAAATGTGAGGGGGGAAAAGGAAGAAGAGGTGGAGGAGGAACATTGGTGCTTTAGTTGCCTTGTGAGAGCCAGAACTTTCAGACTTTTTGGGGTGGGGGGTGGGGTCTCAGGTCTTTTATGGTATTTAGTACTCATCCACAGTGGGCATTATGTAAACATCCTGTGGTTCCAGTCTCTATGTAATGTATTTACTGTTTTGTTAATACAATTTTATGAGAAATTTTAAAGAGGCTAATCAATTTCTTGTCACCCTGCAGCAACACTGGAAACAAGATTTTCTCCTGGAAAGTACACCCAAGGGTGACTCATAGAAACCTTTGGTCTGAGCATATTATGCAAATGGCTTTCCTTCGTCATCTGCTTAATTGTCTGGTATTAAGGAGGCCCCTGTGCCTGGTAAAAGGTAAAGTATTTCACTAAGGGACAAGAGCATCCAGGTTTCCATACTAGCAAGAGAGATTTAACTCTTACACTGTGGTCACAACCAAGCCCCGGGAGCTTGCAGTTTCAGAGCTCCCTTCAGCTTCTGGGGAGGCAACCTTGACCACCCAGACAATGAAAGCTTCGGAAGAAAAACTCACTACCTCTGCTGAGCCAGGGCCTGAGAAGCCCCATCCTGCACTAAATTGGGGACGACAGCCAGTGGGTGGTCCCTGTGCATGGATAAATCTCATTCTTGTATCATGATGGGCAGTGAGAGGCGTTCTCGATGGTCTGACTGTGGGATGGATATAGCCATAGCCAGCCATCAGGGCATTCACCTTTTTAGCTGCTATTTCCTTAAGCATTCAAAAAGAGATTTTCAGAAAATAAAATGTGGGGACAGTCCTAAGTTGTGTACTGATCTTGATATTGAATTCTGTGCCCCTTAGACCCACAGTGTGTGCTGCTAGATATTGATTCAAAACAATGCAGCTGGAATATCTGTTTGCAAATTGGTTATGCAATTTGAAATGCTCTCCTGTAGTAAAAATAACCTTGATTTTTTTTTCTTCTATACACTTGTGAGGTGGTGATTGTCCCTTTCTTCTGCTGAGGGTGTTTCACAGATAGCGAAGGTCACAAGAAGGCATGGGCTTCTCTAAAAGCTTCTCCCTTGGATGGCTCCTTGGGAGAGTCAGAGGCAGGTGACGGCCATCTCCTGACACTCTGTCCCGTCTGCAGTCAGGCATGTTTCCTCCATAGCCAACAACAGCACTGAAATCCCACCGCGGCGCATGACGTGTTGAAGGAGGGGGCTCTACAATGAGTGTGACGCATGAGAAGCATGGGAAATTGTCTTTTCCTGTTTTCCCTTCTGCCTGTGTGTGGCTGTGGCCTGGCTGCTCCTGAATGCTTTCTTGAGAAACATCTGGTGGGTTGAGTCAGTTAGTAGCTAGAGAGACTGAGGCTCATTGCTTGAGTCCCTTGGAAAACCAAGGAAGCGGGGAAGTGAGCTAAGAACAGTCCTTCAGTGTTTCAGAAGACATCTCTCTGTAGCTAGCTTTGGGTAGGCAAAAACACTGATACTAATCTCTCCCACCTGCTGCTCTTCTGGGAATTATTATAAATGATGCAAGAAGCAAAGTGAATTGAAGTTTTCCTGATGATTTCTATGCAGGTAAAGCCTTCTGAGTTGCAGATCCACCTCACCTCCTTACCTGGGCTTTCATAGCAGGTCATGGCTCAGAGAGGAGCTACGGTCTCTTCAACAGGCTCTTCACAACTAAGCAAGCTGAGATCCGAAGAAGTTTCAGTCCCTGCAAGAGCATCCTGGCGGGTACCTTCACAGCTCTCTCACTTCTGAATTTGGGGGTCCGAGGAGCATGTTGGTTTGCAGTGCTCCACTGGAACATGCAGGCTTCTGAGTGGCTTGCTTTGTCCCTGCAATGTTAAATATTCAGAACCAGCAACTGCTGCCCTTTCCCTAAATGATAGCAATAAATAAATCATAGGCGTTTTTGTGGACTGAAACTGGCTTCTCCAGCTCCTCCGGCAAATATTCTGCTGCTGAATCAAAACAAAGCAAAAACAATAAAATCCCAATAAAAACAGTTCCTCTAACTTAAACTTCCTCAGCTTTTTGTACACCATGGTAGAGACCGAACATAACCCTGCTTTTGTTGCCTGATCACAACCAGTTCTAGAGGGAGGGATATTCCTTCGGTATTCACTTGTTACAGACTATTTTCTTCTTGCTAGCTGGCACATTTTGTTCTTGAAAAATCTACTGAAATGAAGAACATGCTGTAGGTATTTTGGGGCATGTCCCTCATCAAAGGCCCGGTGTATTTCTGGCAGGATGAGTGTGACAGCAACAGTTTTCTGGGATGGGCATCTCTATCCCTTGCCAGCATCCTGCTTTTCTGATCTCAGGGGGGCCCAGTGGCAATGTGGCCTCCCTGACATAGACATGCCCAAATCCCACATGTCCTCACAGAGCTTTCTCATGACCACACCAACAGTTCAACCTTTCCATTTCCTTCCCAGCCCTCCCCCACATCTGGTGACCATGCTTCTCAGCCCGTTCTCAAGCTCTCAACCTTGGCTTGCAGAGCCTGTGACGCTTCTTGCCTCCTCCCGCTTTTGCCTCTTGGGTGCTGTTGCTTAAATTGTTCTTGCTGCTTTTTGCAGCCAACCAAGTAACCTCCTTGCTCAGCTCTCTCCACAGCTGCAAAGCCATATCCCTGGCAGAGATTTCAGAATATCCAGATACGTTGGAGTACTGATTAAAATCTGCCCAGTAAGCCTCCTAGTGCAGAAAAGGAGGACACATTTTGGGGAGAAAGGAGATATGGGTTGCTAAATCCAGCCTTCATAAGCATCTCAACATAAAACTCAAATGTTTAAGGGTATATATTTAAGGACTTTCTCCTGTGGAGGACATAATTCTGTCATAATTCAAAGCCTATAAGCAACCTTTCACTGCCATAAAGTGAAGGTAGAGCAAATATTCTGCATGGTGGGACATAAATCCTAAAATGCTGGCAAGTAGAATCAACAATGAAATTCAGTCTACATGCAGTCTTTCAGTGCCCATAATATAACACTTTTTACAGCTCTCTGCTCATGGTTGAAAGGTAGCAGTAGCTTGGCTTCCCAAATTTTAGCTGAAGTTGGGGCTTCCAGAATTCATTTCATACTCTAATATTTTGCATCTTTATAATGTATTATAGCTAGTCATTCCAAATTCCTTCCAAAATGTGAAGAACACAGCCTTAAACCTCTTTCTTTGAAGTGAGGAAGTACCCTTCATTTGGTAAAGGAGAAAATGAGGTCTTGCAAAATTGTTATGCAGACGTTGTAAAATTCTGTTTTCCTACTTACCTGAGAGTAATGTTCCCTCTTACTGTTGGTTTGTTGGTTGGTTTTTTCTTACATAGACAAAATGATGGGTTTGGGGGTTTTTTTTAGAATTTTTACATATCTATGTTCACGGACAGATTTTCTTGAGCCTAGATTAGAAAATTGCAACAATAATTTCATCAGGCTGAGCCAGATAGATTGCCACCAGATCCACTATAAAACCTACTTTGGTTCTTCTGCACTATCCATCAGACACAGTGTGAATGTTAATGTCAGACTGGCAGTAAAACAGCATTAGTGCTTTCAGCTCAATCCCATTATGAATTAAGCTCACATCATATATCCATGACTCCTTATAAATCAGCTAAAGCATACTGAGTCTCATCATCTTGAAGATGACAAAGGATCTTGCTGTGCCAGTGCCAGCTGGAGGGCTTGTTGAGAAGTAGGGCAGTAGTCCTCTTCCCACTGGACTCTGATATCACATCCTCCGTTTCATACCATCCTTTATGAATACAGGCCAGTAAACTGCTGAAGAAAGAAGGGATTGTAAATTCTGGACAATGAAAGGGTTGTAACAAAATTAATAGTTTACAATAAATTGCCAGATACTGCTGCATGGCTCTCTCTTTCAGGCATCAGAGGAATGAAACCAGGTTGACAGTACTGTGGTATAGGTGATTTGTCTGCTTTTCTAGCCCATAACACACCTGAAAAACACTTTGATTAGAGAAAAGTCTGTCAGAACAGACTCAGAGATGCACTTCTGTTCCAGCTGGATCAGAAACACCTTCTTACATGGAGGAGCTGCAGCTTCTGAACTGTTCAGACACAAGCATAAGTTTTTAATTTTTTTTTTTTTTTAAATACAATTAACTCTGCATGTTCACATCGTTTGAGTAAAGGGTGGAAAACAAAGATTGCCGCATGTATTATCACCAGAACTATTGGCACAAAAAGATGATTCATCTTCTGCAGAGATGATCCCACAGAAACTGAAGGGCTTTCACAGCAGGGTAGCACAGGGCAATGCCCGTGGGCTCCAGAGGCGTACAGGTCCAACTGAGGGCAGAGCTCAACCTCCGGACAGAAACATGACTCAAGGGAAACCACTGGCAGTGAGGTCACAGCGAGGGCTGTCAGGAAAATGATCAGAGCTCTTGAGAGCAACAAACCAGGGAGGAGCAGAGGCTCTGTACAGAGATGTGTCTTTTTACATCAGCACCTTCCACCTGGCAAAAGGGTCTCTCATCTCCTGGGAGCCTTGTCTTGGGAGCAGTGCAGAGGAGAGGATCAGCCCCTGGCACTGTGTCTGCATGCAGGTGGCCCTGATGCTGCATAGTCCCAGTCCTGCCCTACAGCTCCTCTGGTTTTGGTGGGTACCCAGCTACCTGCAGCTGCTAGTGGTTCCTCCAAGCCCTGTCACCTGACAGTTTTCTTGTCTTTTACCTGCATATCTCCCATCAAGGCAGGAAAGCATTCGCTGAAAACCACCCAAAAAATCTTTGGCAGAACATCAAATTAAACCTATCCCTCATACTCTTAGGACTGTGGTCACTCGTTCTATCTCTCTCCACAAAAGCAATAGAGTAATGTATAGCTTCTTTGTCCCCCTCTGGGTTCAACTCCTTCAGAATATGCATGTTAAGGATTAGCAGACAGTGATCTTCTTCAAGAGAAGGATGAGGACTAACACTCATTGCAAAGATGGTTGTTCTTGCAGTACTTTCACAAAGGAGTGCCAGGCTCCAAAAAAGAGCCTAACAAACCTTAGTGGGAGGCAAACGAGAAACACCAATTACAAAGCCTGCT